TTGTAAAAATTGAATGTTAAAGGGGCAGCTTAGTCCCTTATAGTTCACCAGTCCCTGAACAAATGCTAAAATATTTGCTTCAGAACTGCATGGATTATAACATCTGTGTTGTCTCACCCTTCTCATGAGACTGAAAATGGAATAAAAGTTTTTTAAAATGCCTCTCAGTTGCGGCTTGGGTCAGAAAAGGGCACACAGGAGCGCACAGCAGCATCTCCATGCTTTCTGTGCCATTTTATTCCCTCTCCCTGGCTGGGGCAGCACCTCTGGAGCCTGCAGAGCATCTTTGAGCTCGGCTGGGTGCAGAGGGGCAGAAAACTTCAGTTATTGCCTTGCTGGCCACCAAAATCCCGTTTAATTGGAGCTGCCTCCACTCGGGCCGAGCAGAGGCACTGACAGGAGAGGGTGCTCATGATTTAGGGAAGGGACAGGGAGTGCTCCCCAGGCTGTCCTGCAGGGAACCCAGGGCAGGGCACTGAGCAGCTGTGCCCGAGGATGCCTTTCAGCAGCAGGGAGAAGAAGCAGATGCGGGCTGTGGCAGCTAATCTGTGCCTCTAAATCCAGCCCTGTAATTATGATGATAAGCTTTGCGAGGGACCATTCGATTCAAAAAGTAAATTTGAATGTATAAATAGAGTCCTGCTCAGCGGGGTCAGGGCTCCAGCCCAGGCATGGATAAATGGCATTACAGGCTGATAAAAGGGCTGGGAAATCAGCAGAGGGGTCAGAGCTGCACTGAAATGTTCCCCTCAGCTGGGGCAGCAGTGTTTGATCCCTGCTGGATCAGCACTTGGCAGCTGAGTCATGGTTGGGCTGATGCCTCAGGTCTTTGAATAAATCCCTGCTTTATTCTGTAGCTCTGCCCAGCCTCTCTTCCAGCTCAGCCCTCCCAAGGCATCAGTGCAGCCTCAATATCTGCCCTGGAGGCCACAGAAATCAGGATTTCACAGCTCTTTGTGGCTCCTGGAGGCTGCACTTCTGTCCCTGTCCTGGTGACACAGGGCTCAGGGAAATGCGGGATGCAGATTACACCCAGCCTCTTTGGAACTGAGCGTTTCAATAAGATGTTCCAGGCAGACACGAAACACGTGGATTTCAAGACGACTTTCCTGCTTAATTTTTTAATCCCTTGCTGATGCTCTGGGTGCTTTCATCCCTCCCCCCTTCCCTGCTTTGGAGCTTTTCTTCCATTTCCACTCGGAGCAAGGAATGACCTGGGGCTCTGCAGTCCCAGCTGTGACCTCAAGAAAGGTCCTGGGGCAGATTTTCCCCATCCAAGTCTCGTTTCTGTTCTCCCGTGGGAAATAACGATGGGATCACCTTTCCTCCTGCCTTTTGTCGAGGCAGAGAACGAGCTGTCTGTTCCTCAAGCGCTCCAGACAATGCCTGTGCTCAGGCAACCATAAACACAGCTCAATATCCCCCTCCAGACCCATCTCCCTCCTCCTTTACACACGGGCTGCACACACCGAGCTCATCCTCAATTGCTTGGGGTTTTTTTTTCTTTTTTTTAATTATTTATTTAGAAATAATAAAATAAGACATAATATATAAAAATCTGTACAATCCACAATTTGTGCAGTACATTAGGAAGACTTCGATACAAAAAGGCTGCAAACAGGAAAATAGTCATGGACAACTGTCAGATGCCGAGATTGTTCGTCTTACAAGAGCTGCAGGCCAAAAAAAGTCCTTACAAAATCAGCTTCTGATGGGCTGTGGGGTGGTAACTATGCAGCACCTTCTACTCCACAATGTGGTGAGCAGCCAGAATTAAAGACATTACAGTACTTCTCAGTTTTACCTTGTGTAATCCATCATGACAAAGAAAACCTAAGAGAACAAATTAAATATCTGAACCCTTTGTCTTTTTCCCAGGGCTTCTGCTAACACAGAAGTGCTTTCACGGCTGGGAGAGTCGTGAAATTAAATTAATTAAAGCCAGCTAATGAGTGAGGATTCCTACCCTGGCCACTTAACCCAGGGAACTCGCACGGAAGAGACGGAGGGAGGGAAGCATCCCTACCCACCTCTGCTCCTGTCACTGTACACAGAATTATGGGTCAGACAATGTGTCTCATTCAAGTATTTTCAGGGAAGGGCAGAAATAACATATTCCCCCCCAGCCCCTAAGCAAAAGACAGGATAAAAGCTTCTGTGCGAGCCGGGTGAGCCAATTTATCCTGGATAAAGAGGCTGAACCGAGGCCTGGGGGAGGCTGTGGGGAGAGCTCCGTCAGTTTAAAGTTTAAAATTTAAGGTTTAAAGTCAGCCTAAGCTTGGCCCACGATCAACGGGAGCTGAAGGAAAGCTGTCAGTCACTGTCTAGTCCTTAAAAATAACATTTTTTAAAAAATTATTCCTCCTTCCTATTCGGCTTTCTGCTGAGAAAGCCGGAATTGATGGGAAAAAGGGGAAGGGAACAACTTGCAGGGCTCTTCCCAGCAGCTTCCCAGAGACAGGGCTGAAATGTGGGATTCCCTAGGCAAAGACAAAGGGCTGAGAAAGAAAGAACAAGCAGAGATTAGCAATGGATTACACCTTCACACCCCCCTCCACACGGCTCTGGGAGCTCCGCAAAAACGCCAGTAACTAGAACGTGTTCTCAAATGAAAAGTCCATGCTTAAAAAATAAATAAAGAGAAGTTCAGAGCATTAGGAATCCTATAAGGCTTGCAAGTAGTTTTCTAAAAATCATGCTAACCTGTAGCATCTAGTCCTAGCGAGCCGAGACTGCTGAGCTGAATTGATACTTTTTTTTGTGGCCTTTTCGTTGTCTTCTCCTTGTCCTCCTTTACAGACTTCTATTTACATTTGGCTTTAAATATGAAAATACTTGATAAACTTTATAAAATGTACAATTTTTAAAAATATTTCTGAAAAACCGACTTGAAAAACAAAACAAACAAACAAGAAAGAAAAAAAGAAAGAAAAAAAACAAAACTAACAAACCCAAAACCTCTGCACCAGAAATGTTACAGGGGAGGGGATTATTTTTTTTTTTTGACTCTGGATTTCTTGTGTGTCAAAGAAACGAGACAAATCCTGCATTTTCCATTCCCCCCCCACCTCTCACCCCTCTCTCAAATATCTCAAGTATCATTTAGTGGGAGCGCTGTGCAACTGGGGGATGCTGATGTGAGACCAGGTCCCCTTTCTCCTGCTCAGCCTCCCTTTCCCCATTGTGTTTTCGTGCCCTCCCTGTGTCACTGAACACTCTTTGGTTTGGTTTTTCTCCTTTTGCAGGAACATCACCCTTAGCAGCACTAGCAGCACCCCGTTGTCTCCACCACTGTTGACCCAGAAACTGCAACCAGGCCGCCTTTAAGTGTCCACCCTTCCCTTCCTTTTCCATCCTCCCACCCCAGTAACAGCCTCAGTACTTGCACTTCATCCTCTGCCCTCTCTAGGAGCCAAATCTGTGTTTACACCATGGAATTCCCCCAGTTTCCAACCCTGTAGATAACATCTTATCAGAAACCAGTTCATTGCAGGCATTTCTTCCAGGCAGGGCTGGCAGGGGCCAGAGGCCTTCACAGATATCCACGTGCAGAAGACACCAGACCTAGAACAAGCTGTTTTTTAATGGCATACAGTGATCCAATACTGCAAGAGTCATCTGGGATTGCCATCCCCACCGCCCCCACGAGCAGGGGCCAAGCACAGCTTTGCTGTCTCTTTGAGCTTAGAGGCACAGAGAATTTAAAGCCTTCTGGGTGAAGGAGCCAAAACACCACCAGAGCTTTGCTGAAGGTGACAAAATCTGCTTGGTGACAAGTGATGGGTGATTTGGGATTTGCTGAGGAGGGAGGCAGGAGATGGAGCTCCCTTTGCAGCCTCGTCCTCCCCAAAGAATCCCTCTCTCCACCAGATGGAAATCCACCTCCCTCACACCCCTGCCCTGCTGAAGAGAAGCATTTTGCACAAAACATCCCTCTGCCACTCCTGAGTGCTGTGCTGCCAGGGCCCTTTCCTCCTCTTCCTTCCTACTCAAAAAACTCTTCCTGGGGACTTCTCTGCTGCTTGGCTCATCCGTGGCCAAGCTCCAGCAGCCTCTGGCATCAGCCAGCAGCTCCACAGCGTGTCCATGGCACAGTTTCAGGGAAAGCTCCTCTGCTCAGAGCTGGGGCAGGCCAGGGAGGACATGCAGGTGATGCTGGTTTGCTTCCCCCAACTGAGTTTTTTCCCCCTACAAGGAAAGAGGGATTTTATTCCCTCCACAGAAGAACAGGGGGAAAGAGGAGGAGGCCCAGCTTGCTTTAGGTCCGAGCCTTAAGCCTTTAGAATAAGGTGCAAAATAAAGGTCGTAAAAAGAAAAGAAGAAAAAAAAAAAAAAAGAAAAAAGTCAAAACCAAAAAAGTGTCTGAGGTTTGATTTTTTTGTTGTTGTTTAAAGCAGCCTGTTCCTTTTTTTCCTTTTTTTTCTTTTTTTTTTTAAATAAACTCCACTGTGCAAAACTGTGCATTTTCTTTGGTATCCACTTAGGTAGTTTGAACTTAGTACTTTTTCCTATGTATACATATCTTTTGTCTCATTTTTCCTTTAGACAGAGAATTAAATTCTCCCCCCCAAAAAATCATAATTTTGCTGGAGGCTACTGATTGGCCTGATATTACATAATGCCCCTTATGTAATTGGAAAGAGAGAAATTGATTCTAGCTATCAACTACTGGCCTCAAAAGGAGTTTAAACTTTCTGGCAACATTGGCCTCTCTGAACTGATCATGAGCTTTTCAACCCAAAAAGTTCAACACTGACTTGTTTTTTTCTTTTTAAATTACACAAGAGAAAATAAAAACTACACTGCAACAAAAATAACCATTTGTGTTCATGTAGTTAGCAGCAGCTTTTTAAAAAATAATTATAATAATAATAATAAGGCAGATTCTTGCCTTTGTTATGCCATTAAAAACATTCTTGTTCCCTAGAGAGAAGCATTCTGGAAAAAGTTGAAAACAAAAAATAATAATAACCCAACCAAAGCTTGCCTGCAAGTTCAAGTTTTGTAAAAAAATATATACATAATTTATTCTACAACATATGTGCCTTCTGTTCATACTTAGACATGTTTAGTGCTTTGTGTTTAGAGTTCATTTCCTGTTGTCCCTCCTCTGAGGACAGCCCTAAAACCAGCCTGGGTTCCTCGGGTCTGCTGCCTTCACAGCACTCTTCCACAGTACCGTTGTCTGCAAACTCTTCTGGGCCAACTTCTCAGGTCAACGAGCCCTTGCCCGATGGACACGGTGGGGATTTCACCTTCCAGCCCCGCGGGAGAGGCAGAGCCTGCCAGTCATATCTCAGACTCCCGCCGCAGCGGCCGCGGTTCCAGAGGCACCCCCGCCTGGTTGTGGTGCTCCATGTCCGGGTGGGTGTCCGTGCTCATGCTCTCAGGCACCCCCGTGTCGATCTCGTCCTCCTCCTTGCTGCTGAGGGCCACCTCGTTCTCGTAGCAGAAGGAGTTGGCGTTGGAGAGGATGTATTTCTTCTCCGCTAAGTCCCTGGCACTGCAGATGGGTGTGTTGGGCACTTCGTACGTTTTGTGGAACCTCGAGTAGTCCACTTTGTAGTAGTTCTTCTCTTCGAAGAGCACGGGCTCGTAGCGATGGCCCCAGAGGATCTCGTTGGCCAGATATGAGCTACGGCACTGGGTGGTCATGGCGGTGGCCTCCACCATGCCCTCCAAGATGACCACGATCTCAAAGTCAGCATTGTCCATGTCCTGTTTGCTCAGGTCATACAGAGGACTGTCCTCGTCTATCTCGTGCACTATTGTAATGGGGGAGACCAGGAAGATGCGGTCGATGCCGCTGTCAAAGCCCACGTTGATGTCGATTTGATCCAGGGGGATGTACTCCCCTTCCGACGTGATCCTGGATTTCAGGAGCTGCGCCCGCACGTGCGCCTCCACCAAGTGGCTTTTCCTCAGGTTCCCCACGCGCCACATCAGGCACAGCTTCCCGTCCCTCATGGCCACCACGGCATTGTGGCTGAAGACCAGAGTTTCGTTCCTCTTTTTTGGCTTAGCCATCTTTGCCATGACGGCACCAATGATGAAGGCATCAATGATGCAGCCCACGATGGACTGGAAAACCACCATGAACACGGCGATGGGACACTCGTCGGTGACACACCTGAAGCCGTAGCCGATCGTGGTCTGGGTCTCGATGGAGAACAGGAAGGCTGCGGTGAAGCTGCTCACCTGAGACACGCAAGGCTTGCTGTTCTCTTGGTTCTCCAGATCCCCGTGCAACAGCGCGATCAACCAAAACACACAGCCAAAAAAAAGCCAGGAGAGGATGAAAGTCAGGCAGAAGATCACCAGCATCCACCTCCAGCGGATGTCCACGCACGTGGTGAAGATATCGGCCAGGTAGCGCTGCCCCTTCTCGCCCACGTTGATGAACTGGACGTTGCAGTGCCCGTCCTTCTTGACGAAGCGGCTCCGGCACTGCTGCCGGGTGTGGACCTTGCCCTTGCCGTTGCCGAAGCCGTTGGCCACGGCCATGGTGGACAGCTTCATGCCGTCCTCCTCCGAAGACACGATGCTGTAGCGGTTGGTTCGCACGCTGCCCATCACTACTGCCGGGGACTGAGGTGCTTCTGCTTTAGAAAACAGTCTGAGTTTCTGCAAAACCCTTTGGAGAAACAGTTTTGAAAGTTCTACAGGAACACACACACGCGGAAAAACCGGGCGGAGGCCGGAGTCCCCAGAAGCCCTCGGATCAACCAAGGACAGTCTTCTGGCATGCAGGGTGAGCTCTGCAAGCCACCGTCATAGAGAGGGCATGGTCTGCAAGAGAAAGAGAAATGGCACTTTAGATTCTGGAGGAAAAGCATGAGGGATCAAGGAAAATGACACCTGCGGGCCTGCAGGAAGTTTCCTCTTTTTTAATGACATTTTCAGCAATGCTCAATGTTCACAGCTGTGCATGGACAGGGGTCACACATGGTTACTGCAAGGAAGGAATTGCCCTTCCCGAAGGAAAGCACTGAAGGGGATCGTGTCACACCAGCCTGAGCAATATTCACTTTAAAGCTGGGCACACAAAGGATCTCTCTGCTATTTATATCTGTGATTTCTGCTTATTTTGAAGCAAACAACTCCCTTTAACAGCCTTCTGTTCAAACACAAACACTGAAGTGGTTTGTAGCAACTAATGATGTGTCTCGTGGACTGTCTGACCCATGACAAAGCAGGGAGTGAGCAAAAGGGAAGGTGGAGAGAGGGAAGTAACTTGGGAAGTGCAGATAGCAGTGATCCATGAAATTAAAGCACATACAATTGTTTTAATTAAGCTAACAGAAGGAGTTGTGCATTCTCAGCAAATTTCTAGAACAAGGACTGCAGTAGCTTCTCTCTAACTCCACGAACTCGTCAGGATCTCTGCAGTTTTCACGCTCAAGTCTGGCCTAAGTTGTACAAAAACAATTAAACCTTTCAAACCTCTCATCTGCTCCTGCTAAAGCCACCAGTAAAACGTAGCACAATCAGCTGAGTGCCTTCCTAACACCTTTAGGAGGGAGCTCCAGCACCTTCCTCTCGGGAGCCCGAGGCAGCCCCTTCCGTCTCCAGTGGGTCACAGTCTTGGGGGTCCCGTCACTCTGAAATGTCACCAATCAAGACTCAGCAGAAAAGCTACAAAATCTCCTTCCTGCGGGGAGAAGCCACCAAAAACTTGTTTCAGGGAGGTCTGGCTTAGACCCAGGTCTAGCTTTTAACAAGTGCGTCATCCATTAAGTCATGTACTGCATATCAGGAAATGGAATTGAAATACTGCAGAGGAGAAGAGATGCATTAAAGCAACTGCTCCAGCCACACATGGCCCACGGAGGGAACAGAGCTAAACCCAGGTGGAGAGGAATGTCTGCTGTCCCTTTGGCATGGCGCAGGCAGCTCCAGAACCATTTACAGTAGCAGGAGATTAAATCACGGCGCTCTTTCTAAATTAATGTTATCAAAACTCATCTGAGTTTGTCCAAAAGCCAACAAAACTGCAGCCACTGTGGAGCACAACCCCTGCCCGGCAGGACCTCTGCTCTTCTCTGACTGGAATCTCACAACAGCTGGAGATGTTATCTTCTTTCCCAAGAACAGCAGCCCCTAAAGCCCTGCTGAGGTGCTCCAAAAACTTGAGCGATTTCAAACAACTCCTCAAGCCCTCCCACATCCCTCAGCCACATTACAAAGGCTTGAGCTCAGCAAACACTTGTTAGGAAAAGAGCAGGTGACAAACAGCAACATCATCGGCTGTGTGTGCAGGCTGCTTTTCCTCCAGGATCTCCTCTGGGTTTACTTTCACCTCCTCTTTTCCCCTCGCTCCTGTTTGTTGTGCAAGAATGTGTCCCGATGCCTCCTTGCCAAGATTAGTCATCTGTGACTTCAGCTCAGACAAGACATTTTGGCAGCTCCTTGCTGGTTCTGTAATGCCCCTTTGAGTGCAGCTCTCAGCACTGAACACTTCTGGTGGAGCTGCCCTCGTGCTTATTCTGGGCACTTATTCTTACTTTTATAATGTCTTGCTTCCACTGTGTACGGATCCACTTTTCCCCCCCTCTTACACCTTTTTGTTCCCTGGGTTTCTCATTCCCATCAGGATATCGTGCTCAAAAATACAAAAGAATTCTTTAAACGCTCACTTAAATGATTTGTTTTGGCTAAAACCCCATTTTTATTAGAAACCTGAACACGGCAGGGAAGTGAAATTACTGTTAATACATCCCACATAAAAAAACTTCTTGAAAAGCTATTGCACTGCTCTGCAAATCGATCACTTTCATAAACCACATCCTATAATCACAGTCATGTTCGACTTCCCCAGTCAAAGCCTGTTTTGTTCCAAGCCGATGGAAACACACAGCCTAGGAAATACTTTATTCTGGAGTTTGCTTTTTTTCCTTTTCTTTCCTAGATTTTCGATGAAAACTTTTGGTGGAGGGAAAGATAATATTTAAAGTGTCTGAATACGGAGCTTCTCCCATGAAAGTCTCAATCTGAGGACACTTGTTTGAATCCCACAAATCCCTGAAATCCTAACACCAGCGTCCTGTGGCTGCATATAGAAGTTTGGGACCCGAATTTTTCTATTCCTCCCCTGCAGGACTGAGCACCTCTTCCCTCCTGTCCCTTGCCCGGATCCCTCCTCGCTGGCTGTGCTGTGGGCGTGCAGCTGCACCCCTTTGGTTCCAAGGACCCCAAAACCTGGGGGTGAGCCTGGGGGCAGCTCTGGAGCCTGCTGAAGTGCACATCACAAAGCTCTGGCACACTCCAGGGCAGCAGAGCTGTCTGCCTGCTTTTCCAGCACAAACTGCCTCTCTTCCTGCGAGTGCTGGGGCAGGACAGAGGATGAGGTGGGTGGGATGGGAGCCGGAGCAGCACCACACACAGGGATCAGCCCGAGGGGCTGATCTTGCTCCTGCTCATGGAAATACAGCTCCTGTGAAATGCCCTGTGCATCCACGGGCTGCCCCAGCACCTGCTCCGTGCTCACCCCGACCCTCACCACCATTTCCACCAAAAGTTCCCCAAAAACCCAGGAACAAAGCAGCAGGAAAACCGAATGCTACTTCTTGTGCCAATCCACCTGCTGCTCAAAGGCTGTACAACGCTACTGCCCCTCATTCCATCCCAGCATCAGCTGCTGGTGGCACCAAAAATTCCAGGCTGGTGTGGGAGCAGCCCTGCAATCCTCACTGGGCAGAGGCAGCCAACCCAGCACCACCAACCCAGCCCAGGATTGCCAGTATTTGCCCAACTGGGCCCAGTGCAGTGCAGCTAGACACAGAGCTGTAAATTCAAACATCACCAGGTGTGTTGTCATGATTATTATTATTATTATTATATTTATTATTATTATTAGTCCAGGTGACCTTTCCTCCTGGAAGGGAAGATAAGCAACACAGCTTGGAATTATCAGCAGTGGCAGGGACACGGGATTACTGGGAAGGGATGAGATGGGATGGAAGAGCCTGGCTGGTTCTGCTGCGATGGGATGCTTGGAGGAGGAAGGAGAAGAGGGCTGTGCTGCATCTGCAGCATTTCTGAGCCAGCATTTGGGGAAACGCCACGACGAAGAGCCCAAACCCTCACCTTCCCCTGAGCATCCCCCTGCAGACCTTCCCTGGGAAAGGACGCGCACATCGCAAGGCACAGCAGGAGGGGAATTTGGGCAAAGGTGAAAGACCGAGGGATAACTCCGGAGCGCAGAGGAGCAGGGGAGGGGTGGAGAGGAGCAGCAGGCAGCGCTTGGAGCTGTTATTCCCCGGCTGACGCCACCGAGCCCGGCGGAGCCAGCCGGGCACATGTTGCCAAGAGAGCACCAGCACCACCTCAGCCAAGCGCCCTCCCTGCTGCCCTCGGAAAGCAGAACAAAGCAGCTTCTCGCCGCTTTGAGCCAAGCCTGTTCCCACATTCCTGCTCCCTCGCTGCCGGGCACGGCCACCTCCGTAACCTTTCTCCTTAAAAGTCATTCCCCAGGGCTCCTCCGCTGCTCCGGGCGCGACTCAAGTTACACGGAGCTGCCTTCGGGAGAGGGATCTGACCTTCAGCGACAGGCAGCGGGGGGGCAGAAAAAATTTAAAAAGAGCACATGATGCAGGGAAATGGGTGCGAAGAAATAGGAGAAAGGGAAGGACAAGTGGCGCTCGCATCTGCTGTCCTGCCAAGGAGACGGGCTCGGGGTGTTTGTAGCGGGTGACAAAACAACTCCGAGCGGAGCAGCCATCACCAGGGGGTGTACGCGGCGCACCGGCTGCGAGGATGGAAAAGCAAACAAGTGTAAAGGTAAGGCTGAGCCACGGAGACAAGTGCGGGCAGCCTGCGGGGTGGGGACAGAGCTGCGGGGACAGAGCTGCGGCTCCGGCTCAAGCCGGGCCAGCGGCACCTGCGGGTCCCCAGTGGCTCCCGCCCCGGTCACTGACCCCCCAAATCCATCTGCCTTTGCTTATCAGTATTTTTTCCTTTCACTGTCATGAGCTAAGCTGAAACAATACAGCTCCTCTCTGCTTTCCCAAATGCCTTTTTTTTTTTTTTTTTTTTTTTGGCAGGACGGTCAGAAATAAAGAAGCCCTCCCGTTTGCACCATGCCGATGAATGAAGCTACAGGTTCATTTCACACCCCTCCAAACCATCCCGGGCGCTCAAACCCACGCATCCGAGCCGAGACTCGCCGCTTCTGCCCTCTCTCCGTGCGGGAAACAACAGGCGAGAAGAAGGAGAAGGGATGGAGCGGTGCGCTCTGTGCGACACGGAGTTGTCATGCGAACTTCCAGCCCTTCCCCAGGATAAAATATCCCGAGGGGGGGAAAAAAGGGGGGAGCAGCTGGTGCATGGAAAGTTATGAGCACAAACAGATGCTGCAAGCAGATGCTCGGGCGCTCCAGCCATACCTATCGAATTATTTTAGGCGCTGAGAATAGCTCCGTGAGAAACGCAGGAGTGGAGTTCCCCTCTTCTCCAAGCCGGAGGCAGCGGACGCTTTTATCGCGGGGGTATCGCGACAGCGCGCGTGCCGCGCATCGCCTCCGCTCCTCGGGGAGGCGGGGAGAGACGCGGGGAAGGAGGCGATTCTTACCTGCGGCGGCCGCGAGGGAGGTGCCGGTGCGGAGAAGGGGTAAGATCCGTGGCGAGGCCGTGCCCGGTGCCCGCTCCGCTCGCACTGCGCTCCCGCCCGCCCGCGGCCCCTTTTTGCGGGCGGCCATGGCACGTTTAATACGGCCCCACCGGCCACGCCCCCCGCGCGGGCTCAGCCAATCACAGCACGGGGCGGGGCTCGGGGGGCGGGGCCTCGCAGGGACCGGGAGCGGCGGGGCCGGAGCGGAGCGGGGATGGAGCGGGGATGCTCCGGGAATGGAGCGGGGATGCTCCGGAGCGGCGCATGGAGCCGGGGTTCCCGCTGCCAGGAGGGGCCCGGGAGAAGGCTCTGGGACCCCCGGTGCCCGCTGCGGAGGCTCCTCGGGTTTCCGGTGCGGAAGATCCCGGGAGAAGGCACCGGGACCCTGGATCCCCGGTGCGGAGGGTCTCTGGGGGAAGGCACCGGGTCCCTGGGTCTCCGGGTTCTTGGTGCGGAGGGTCCCGGGATACTCGGTGCAAAGGGTGCCAGGAGAAGGCGCCGGGTCCCTGGATGCCGGGATCCCCGGTGCGGAGGGTCCGGGGGAGAAGGCACCGGGTCCCCGAGTCCCCTCTGCGGAGGGTCCCGGGAAAAGGGGCCAGGTCCCCGGGTTCACGGTGCAGAGGATCCCCGGGTGTCCGGTGCAGAGGGTGCCAGGAGGAGGCACCGGGCCCCCGCTGCGGAGGGTCCCCGGGTCCTCGGGGACTCGGTGCAGAGTGTCCCGGGAGAAGGCGCCGGGTCCCCGGGATCTCCGGTGTCCGGTGTAAAGGGTCCCGGGAGAAGGCGGCGGGTTCCCCGGTGCAGAGGGGGGAGGAGAAGGCGCCAGGTCCGCGGGTTCGCGGTGCGGAGACTCCGGGAGAAGCGGCGGTGCAGAGCGGGCACGGCCGCGCTGCGGGGAGCAGCGCCGCTGCGGTTTCGTTCCGCGGCTCCGGGACGCTCCGGTTGCGCTCCCGGGCACCCGGCACCTGCCGGCGGCATGCCCTCACCCTCCCTCGGCAGGGATAAAGGCTTTTGCGGGACTTCGGGAGTTTGGGATGGTCCCGTGCGGGAGCCGGCTGCCCGCTCGCTCCCGTTCCCGTGGTTTGGGCTGATGGCCGAGGCCCCGGGCAGTGAGAAAAAATACCGGAGACAGAAAAGTTTCGTTCCCTTTGTCCCTTTCTTTATTTGAGTGAAGGGAAATGCTGAGGTGCAGGGTGTCCCATCCCAAACTCCCAAGCCTAGCAGGCACGAGAAGTCAGGCGAACGCAGCACAACACTGCTCCTAAACCCAAAATCCTTCCCTTTAACTGAATGAAACACCCCTTCCAAATCAAGAGCTTTGACCCCCGGACTAAGATCTTTTGGAGCAAGGCTGGAAGCAAGGGAAGGACGAGCCTGGCTGCAGTGTTGGGATCCACGGCTTTGCTCCCTGAGTCACCTGTGGCAGCTCGGTCAGTCTGGCCAGGGTTGAAATATGCAGAAATCCAAATGATTTTTAACAGCTTGTCCTCCCTACAGTGGACGTGGCCTAAGACAAAGAAAATAAGGATGAAATGCCTGGCCGGGAGCCTCGCAGGAACAAAAACAGCCTTGTAAGCACAGCCTGAAGTTTGCCAAGCCCCGGCTCTGCTGGACAGTGCAGGGGTGTTGGGTTCCAGGGCAGGTGTCCGCAGCAGGACACTGTCCCTGCCCTCGGGAGGGACAACAGCTGAAATCCACGGGGAGCCCGTGGTGTGCTGAAAAACAAGGTGACTGCTGAATGCAGGGGGCAGAGCCTCCCAGGCTTTAGGAATTGCCACAAACACCTTGAATTGCACCCAGCACTGCTGCAGCAGCCCCTGAAACACCCAAAAATGAGAGCTGGGAGAGGCAGCGGCCATCAGCAGCAGGTCAGCCTGGAGCTGCTGAGGGATGGACTGCTCCAAGCGGCTCGGCCTCCAGAGAGCTCCTTACAATGTCCAGAGCAGGCTGTAAATATGATTCCTTACTTTCCACAGCAATGCCAGCGCCTGCAGTCGCTCCTTGTTGCTTAAACTCTCCTCCTCCTCCTCCTCATTTGTTTGCTAAGTTTCCCAGCCTGCCATGAGCTGTCTTTAAGCGCTCGGTGGAAAAGCTGTGCCCAAATGCTCCCTCCTGGCGCAGAGGCTCCAGAACAGGCTCCCCGCGCTGCTGCTGCTCCATCGCACCAACTGCCACGCCTGGCACCGCCGGGGTTTGCCCGGTGCCCGCATCCCCAGTGAGGAAGTGCCGCGTTGTTGCAGCAATAAACACAAGGGCCGAGGGCAGCTGGTTCGCCAGCACCACATTTGTGAGTGCAGGAGGCGCAGAATTGACGGCGTGGGGAGGGGGAAGCGGGGACAAATGCTTCTGTTCGTTGGGCAATCTGGCGAGTTGGGCAATCACGCTGGTTGTGAGTTGTTCTTGGGTGGTTCTGTTCGTTTGAAGGGGGAAGAGAAGTCCAAAACTTATGGGTGATGGGTCTGGAAAGCGAAATCTATAAGGGGGATGACAGCAATTAGTTCATCCATTTAGACAGAGGAAGATAATTAAATCCACAGTTCATGCACCTGTATCAGAGAAAAAATATCCCTCATGTTTCTCTTTGTGCACTTGCCATGAACTGCCAAAATAACTACAGTCTGAAGTATTTGCCTGTTGGAATACTATGAGTTGGAACTAGAGCTCCAACATTTGCCCATCTACGTGTCAGTGAAATAAAGAGCTGTGATCCACTCCTGCTAAGAGATGCTCTGCTGGGGAGGTGGGTGCATGAATTCCCTGTGCAAAACCTCCGAGATATTCCAGATTGCAGCACGGCTTTGGAGCCTCTTACTCAGCCTTTACTCACGAGAAGCGGCTGATAAAAAATACAGCCCTACTACAGATTTATCTGCCCACATGAGTAAGGCTTACTCAGCCATTCAGCGTTTCACACGAGGCAGGGCAGAGCAGATCCATCACCACTGTTTCACAGCTTTCTCAGAGTTGGGGCAGCTCTGCCCAGAGAGCTCTTCTTTGAATGAAATATCGATTCTCAACCTATTGCACAGATAATGAAAACCATAACAGAGCTGCCTGCTTTCCAAACTTCCAAACAGGGAAGCTGAAGTTACAAGAAAAGTTTCTAAAAAACCCTTTCCTGTTGTAACAAGCCAGGACAAAGAGGGTGAGACAGCTGAAAACTTAACCCTCAGCGCTGAGCGAGGGGTTCCTTTTCCTTCTCTCCATGAATGGTTTTCCAATCTGACCCAGCCTTGCCTTGGAAACCTCTCACTGAAATATTAGAAAAGCCATGTGAAATGGTCATGGGCTGAGAGATTTTCAAGGCAAGACCCTTTATCTGCAGAAAAAAATGGTACTGAGGGAGACGAAGGGCTCTGGGAAGGAAGAACATTTGAGAATTTTTCTCCCCTTTTTCTGTCACAGTTCTCCCCTCAGTTGTCACCACAGCCACCCCTGTCCCTCAGCTTGCAGATTCCCCCTGGAAGGAAATTTGGGAGTTGTGTTGCAGGCCCAGACCTTGGACCGGAGGCTTCAGCCCCTGTCTCACTCCAGGGGAGACATTATTAAATTGCTTTTTCTGTCTTGGCGCTGAAAGGACCTAATTATCAGATTGCATTAGTCCTCATCTCTTCAAGTGGCCAAATCTGCTTTGGTTCTCAAGGATTTTATTGCCAGCTGAAAATGGCTTAATTGTATTGTACTTGCAAAGAAAACACGGGCTGGGGGAATCAAAGCTTTCCACAAGAGGAGAAGAAATGCCATAAATAACACGCTGGGCTTTTATTTTTTTGGGTCTCGCCATTTCCATGCATGTAAACTGGCATGAGTTTGCCTTTCTTCCCTAACCATGAAGTCAACTGGAAAAAATTCCTCAGGAAAAGGTGGTTTCCCCATTCCCAGTAACCTCCTGGGGTTTAGGCATGAACTGGATCTTTATAGGTCTAGTGCTGGGATCTCCAAGGGAAAATGAACCCACCTTGGTAACAGAGGGAATGGGCAAATCCAGGGAAAATTCCACAGAGAGAAGCTTGCATGTTTGATAAGACTTGAGAGAGCAAATAAATAGATTTGCAAGCAAATGGGATCTACAGATGTGCAGTTCTGCTCGAAAAGAAATGGGTTTGTCCATGGGAGGGATGAAGTTGGACAGAGGAAATTGAATTCAGGCTTCATGTACCTGAGAAGAGTGGAACTCACACCCCCCAACCACATTTGTAAGTGTATATTTTGTGTCCAAAATCTTTATTTAAGATTTCAGGCTGCCTTGGTTAGGCTTATCCTAAAGGCAAATCACCAGCCAGTCACTGTATTTTGGAAAAAACTAAATATATTTTCAGTCCTTGCTGCTGCAAGAGAGGGATGTGGGGAGCAAGGTGAAGAAATCCTGAATTACTGAATTCCAAACAGAAATCTTCTTCTAGCAGGAGCTGTATCTAACTCCCAATCCAACAGCAACCCACAAATTCTGCCAAGGAAAACTCCTTTCCAAGGCTATATTCCATGTGGCTCGGTTCTCACCAAATTAAGGCGCCTAATTTAAAGCATCTTTAGCTCCCAGCTGAACTTTCAGACCCAATAAAATGTGCTGTTGGTAAAAAGGGAGCTCTGAACTCTCAGAGCAGGGTCAAAGGCCTTCAAATGTTCAGGAAATGTTCATCTGATATTGAATGTGCACCTGGCACATTCCCTGTTTTCTCCAAGCAGGCAGGTCCAGCACCATGCAGGGACCTGTCCCCACCACCCAGGACTGTGGAGAATCTTCCAGAAATGCAGGGAATGTCAGGGACATCTGGCATGGTTTGTGACACAGCAATATTCCATATTTTTCCTTCTCAAGCCATCAGTCAGCTTTGTGCTCAAAGACAGCAGAGGGGAGGTGGTTTCAGATTAATGGGAAGGAATTTGCAGATTAACAGGGAGGAATCTGCAGATTAAC